GGGGGGGGGGGATCGGCTGCGGTGGCGGAAGAGGAAGCAGAGGGAGAGGAGGAATAGGACCAGAACTATGGCGGCTCCGACGCAGATTCCGATGAAAATGTAGAGGCGGATGCCGAAGATTGCGGTTTGCTTGGAGAGATCGTTGGTTAGGAAGGTAGTATTCCAGAATGGCATTTTTTTCTTTTCGCTTTTCAGCCCTTCTGGTGACTTGCGAGGCTCAGCAAATTGAGGGTTTAGTAAGAGAAGGTGATGATTCGCATTGGAGATCTTCGCTTCCTCAGTGTATGATCTTAATTGCAGGGGAGAGATGGAGAAGGAAGAGAGCAGCTTGGCTCTCTCTCTTTCTACTCTGAGAGCATGCTCCGTCTTGTTCAACGAGCAGAAAGCCAGTACTTTGAATCGATTATGGGGAAGTCGCGTGAGTGTTACTCAGTATCTGACAGCCCACCGCCGGGCTCGGCTCGTGAGCTCCATTAATGGGAAAAAATTTGCTCTGTAATATAAAAATAGGTTATAACTATTTGAACGTTATAATCGCATTATATTCCTGATAATCTTTCTGTAATTTATCTGTAATTTTTAGTAAGTTTCGCACTTTTATTTTCATATATAAATAGGTTATAGGGAGATTATAAGGGTTATAACACGGTTATAACCTCTGAATATTCTCGATGTAACATATTTGCAGGTTACAGATGCACGCATACGTCTTATATACGCAATTTTTTTCCCTATTAATGGCTGACAGGCAAGATGCATGTGGTTAATATATGCCTTAATTTCCTCAATAATGGAGATGGGCTCAGCTTAAAATGAGTTAAAAAAAATTTTGCTTTAAAATTTTGGCTGGTAGCACGGCTTATTTATTTCAATATAATCTCAATTCAAGCTAAAATTCAAAATAATTATTGTAATGATCTTTAAGCTGAATTCGGTAAATTCACAATCATAACATCGGTAGAGCTGTTAATAATCCGATTTCGTCGGCTCTACCGTCGGCTCTAAATTGGCTAAAAAAATTTAGTCTGAAATTTTGGCTCGCAGCTGGACTCATTTATTTCGATTGGAGCCAAAATTTGAATCAATTTTCAAGAGATTAACAATCTTGGTACTAAATTCACAGCCTAGTCCTAATGATAAAGAAGTTTATGTTAAAATTGTTTTTATAATTAAGCTTAAATTAATCCATTAATCACTTGATTACTCATCATAAAAATAATAATAATTTTTTAGTTAAGATACTTAATTATGGGATGATTATGAAATTAATGCAATCTAATTGTTGAAACAGAAAATTATTTTTTTGTGATCATAAATTTAATCTCATGTTGAAAAAAAATTTGATCTGTAACATGAAAATAGGTTATAACTATTTGAACGTTATAACCGCATTATATTCTTTCCGTAACTTCTAATAAATTTTGTATTTTTATTTTTATATATAAGTAGATTATAGGGAGGTTATAGGGGCTATAACGCGGTTATAACCTCTGAATATTCTCTATGTAAAATATTTACAGATTACAGATGCACGCATACGTCTTATGTACGCAATTTTTTTCCCCCATTAATGGCTGACAGATGCAAGTGGTTAATATATGCCTTAATTTCCTCAATATAAAAGAGGCTTCGCCGTAATATATGCAATTAGATAAATGTACTTCTGTATGTATTTATGCAATTAATTTTTGGCGAGAGTTGAGCATGCATTGCATGATTCTGACTCATAAAGTTAGATGTTGAATTCAAATATGTCATATGTGGCATGCCTAAGTTTCAGAGAGGTAGTAATCTAGAATGAGAAGTGGAGATGAAAAGCGGTAGAAAAAAAAAGAGAATATAGACTTGCTCATGAGGGGCAAGCTGAGAGTATTCTCGGCTCTGTAAACCATTTTCTGTATTGTAATTGAAAGGTTACAAGAGAAAAGAGGAGAGAGATTTTCTTATATAGTATGGGTCTAAATAGAAGAGCCAAAAGCCATTTTTACATGCATTAAACCTCTATTTATAGAAGAGAGGGGGTCATAAAGTGAAAAATAACATATCTGCCCCAGCTTTAATATAGAAGTTATATGACATTATTGTCTTTTGCTATGTCTTTTCGTATATATAACTAATTTTGGCATCATTTAATATACCTAGACTTCTGGTCGGCAGGCGGTTTGTGGTTCTTCGGCCGATTGGTTATATGAGTACTTAGCTTTTAATTAGAGGAATATTGCTTTTGATCTAAACCGTTAGATATTCCTAAGATTCGTGTAAGTCATTTTTGAGTTCACATATTAATTTCTCCAATTTTCTTGTTCCTTAATAGCCACAACTATCATAAGAATAAGAAAATTTTGAAATGCAATAAATCATATCTTAAAGTCATAATTTAATACAATAAATAAACTTCATGGATTTTCATGACCGTGGCCCTTATATGTAAGGCATAGTGTCGCACCCAACAACTAACACCATAATTCAATTCCCTGTCATAGGCATTCAAAAAGCTTGATTCTTCCAAAGTTACCTGCTCAGATGCTCAAATTTAGATTTTCCTAAGTACTGGGATGCTAACGCAACTGCATGTATCGCTTTTGCAATACATGGTTCTAATGAGTCTGGAATATCGATCCCAAAGAGAAGCAAGGTAAGAACTTCCTTAGGCTAAGTTTAATCTTCCACATTTAGGCCTTAGTTTGGAATGCCTATTAATTTGGTTTATCTAACTACTTCTAAATACAATCCTAAGTCTAATGTTAACCCTAACTAAATCAATTGGTTTGGGAAATTTCAAGAGGTATAAACTACCTTTCTTTTGTGATTGCATAAGTGGATTGTAGGATAGAATACTAGGAATTGCTAATGTGGCTAGTGACAAATAGGAGCATACCTCTTCCTTACTCTCTTCCGAGTGCATAAAGAAATTTGGCTAACCTAGTGTTAATTCTTAAGCTTTAGAATAAATTGGTTATATTTCTAGCCTTCACCCTAGAGTTCCTAATCTAAGTATTAATTCATTAAAACCTAGATCAAATTGGAAGATTCTAGTTTTTCATCATAGAGTTCCGAGTTTCACCCATTAATGCATGTTTCTCTATCTATTTGTATTACCTATAAACTACTTTCATTATAGTTTACAGAACAATATGAATACTCTAGTTGTTTGGGTCATAAAGTGAAAAATAGCATATCTGCCCCTGCTTTAATAAAGAAGTTACGTGACATTATTATCTTTTGCTATGTCTTTTCGTATTTATAACTAATTTTGGCATCATTTAATATACCTAGACTTCTGGTCGGCATGCGGTTTGTGGTTCTTCAGCCGATTGGTTATATGAGTACTTAGCTTTTAATTAGAGGAATATTGCTTTTGATCTAAACCGTTAGATATTCCTAAGATTCGTGTAAGTCATTTTTGGGTTCACATATTAATTTCTCCAATTTTCTTGTTCCTTAATAGCCACAACTATCATAAGAATAAGAAAATTTTGAAATGCAATAAATCATATCTTAAAGTCATAATTTAATACAATAAATAAACTTCATGGATTTTCATGATCGTGGCCCTTATATGTAAGGCATAGTGTCGCACCCAACAACTAACACCATAATTCAATTCCCTATCATAGGCATTCAAAAAGCTTGATTCTTCCAAAGTTACCTGCTCAGATGCTCAAATTTAGATTTTCCTAAGTACTGGGATGCTAACGCAACTGCATGTATCGCTTTTGCAATACATGGTTCTAATGAGTCTGGAATATCGATCCCAAAGAGAAGCAAGGTAAGAACTTCCTTAGGCTAAGTTTAATCTTCCACATTTAGGCCTTAGTTTGGAATGCCTATTAATTTGGTTTATCTAACTACTTCTAAATACAATCCTAAGTCTAATGTTAACCCTAACTAAATCAATTGGTTTGGGAAATTTCAAGAGGTATAAACTACCTTTCTTTTGTGATTGCATAAGTGGATTGTAGGATAGAATACTAGGAATTGCTAATGTGGCTAGTGACAAATAGGAGCATACCTCTTCCTTACTCTCTTCCGAGTGCATAAAGAAATTTGGCTAACCTAGTGTTAATTCTTAAGCTTTAGAATAAATTGGTTATATTTCTAGCCTTCACCCTAGAGTTCCTAATCTAAGTATTAATTCATTAAAACCTAGATCAAATTGGAAGATTCTAGTTTTTCATCATAGAGTTCCGAGTTTCACCCATTAATAAGCGTTATACTTCAAACCCTATATTTGTCCCGAAAGATAAACACAAGACTTGAGGGTGAGGCTCGATTAAATAAACTAAGAAATATATGATATACATTTGGTCTGCGAAAATCATTTTATCTGCCAACAAGTTCCTCTATTTAATACGAAGAATTAAATAGGATTTATATTAAGCTGAGTTCGGAAAAGCTTCCTATAAGGGCAAACCCTTATAGCTAATTACATCTTAGATAATCGAAGTAACCTATATATATAGTTTTAGAAAAATAATAAAATCAAACTGACCCCATATTTTTCATAGTTTGAATGAAAAAGCGTTATGCCTCAAACCCTATATCTGTCCCGAAAGATAAACACAAGACTTGAGGGTGAGGCTCGATCAAATAAACTAAGAAATATATTATGTCCGTTTGGTCTGCGAAGTGAAAACATTTTATCTACCAACAAGTTCCTCTATTTAATACGAAGAATTAAATAGGGTTTATATTAAGCTGGGTTCGGAAAAGCTTCCTATAAGGGCAAGGCCTTATAATTAATTACATCTTAGATAACCAAAGTAACCTAAGAAAACTCTCAATAAAAATCAAGGAATATTATCTTCAAAGAGGTTAAAGATAGGACTTTTCAACGAGATCGGACGAAGGGGTGTGAAATGGGAATGGCTCAAATTTAGAACATTTATTGGAATCCAAAGTAAGAGAGAGAGAGACTAGAGGATGTCATGGATCCGGAGGAGAACCTCGGTGGAACCTCGGTGACTTCCTAGTATATCTTATTGTTTGGCTTTGATTTTGAGGAAAATTATTTAAATGTTTCATCCTACCAATTTTATTAATTTAGAACTTGCATTAACTTACATTTGTGTGAAACAATTACACAAATAGCCTGGAAGATGTGAGGGTTTAGGTCATGACAAACGACAACCTCAGAATCCTAAGATGAGTTAGGGCTTATATTGTACAGCAGAGCTATACAAAGGCCTAATGATGAGGTGAGGGTTTATGTCGCACTAGGCAGACAACGTCGAAATTCTATGGCTTGTTAGTTAATTTTAAGGAAATATAAGTTATTGTGAATCCTCTTGCTGATGAAGATGGTCATGCTGCCCACAATGCTAGCTCCAAACTCCTCATCATGATGAGTTTAAATTTTCTAATGGTCAGGTTATAATGTCAAATTAGGTGTCCCTATGGTTATGGTCATTTAAATATTATGGAGCATATTAAAGTTGATTAGAGCGACACCAGTTAGGATCATACGGTTCCCTTGTTCCAGCACCGCTATTTTCTAACAAATTCACTTAGTCTAAATGAA